GCAACTCCACCCCCCCCCCCCCCCCCCGTTTAGCATATCCTTGAGGCTGGGGGAGTCTTTGTTCCAGTGTGCATCACACCCTAAACTTACCTGCTTTGACCATTGTTTGCCACAATGTCCCCCACTCACCCGGCCTGTGGAGATCCTCCTGGAGGTCTTCATTCGGAGCACTGTAGGGGGGGGGAGTCTGCCTGTCGTTATCCTCGTAGGGGCTTCATGAGGATATAGGCTGAGCTGAGAGGGACTTGGGTGGCAATTTGCATCCGGCTCTCCCCAGTTCAGGTCCAGCTCTTTGGCTGTTGAGGGGGGCGGGGGGTCCGTGTCTGTGTCCGTGTCTGTGGTGGACTGCTCAGCAGGGCTTGCGGAGGGAGGGAGGGAGGCACCTTTTGCGCCACGTTCCGGCTCTACCCCTCCGGTGTTGCTGCTGCCGCCCCCTGACCAGTGTGCCTCCTCCTCCTTTTCTAGTGCACCTTTTGACAGGATTGCAGAGATCAGCTTCAGCATCGAAGCGGATGACGACAGTGTGAGTATCTGTCCTGGGTGGGTCCACAGGAGGCCGAGGTCTGTTCGGTTGCAGGAGGAACAGCAGAAGCCTCCGGTCTCCCGGAGAAGGGGCAAATGCCTCTAGATAAAGGGTGGCAGGGCCGGGTCTGTTTGCCAGGAGGCAGCGTTGGTGTCATGAGCTGGATGGGGAGGTTTGACGGAGCCGCTTGCACGTGCTTTCTCTCCCTCTTCCTCCTCTCTTGCCGGGTAGCAAGTGCAAAAAGGTCAACTGATGGTCTTGCTCAGTAGAACTGGCTCAGCTGCTCTGCTGGAGGACCTGGCTAGAAACGTCTCAGAAGCCCCCGGCTGTCACGCGTCTGCGTGCTCTGAGACGTGTAATGTTTGAAGTAGGGTTGTCCGGAAGCCACAGGAGTGGCAGTCGGTGCATGCCGATAGCAGTGCTTTTTCCGGGTCAGTGAAGTCCAGGTCTCCTTGAGAGCCGGGCTGGGCAACTGGCAGCCTGAGTGCTCTTCCTGGCTGCCTCATAGAATCATAGAATGTTTGAATTGGAACTGGGACCTTGCAGGTCATCCAGTCCACCCCCCTGCACTCTGCAGGAGCAGAGCCGAAAGAGAGCCCTACAACATACCCGAAAGAGGGTCGTCCAGCCTCTGCTTGGAAAACGTCCAGCGAAGGAGCCTCCACCCCCTCCCGAGGCAGACTGTTCCACTGCTCAACCACTCTGACAGTTAGGAAGTTTCTCCTGATATTTAGCCGGTAACGACTCCCTTGTAATTCCCACCCATTCGATCTAGTCTTGCAATCCGGAGCAAGAGAGAATAGATCCGCTCCATCTTCTACATGACAGCCCTTCAAATACTTGAAGACTGCAATCCTGTTCCCTTTAAGGCTTCTCTTTCCCAGGCTAAACATACCTAACTCTTTTGGCCTTTCCTCGTAAGCCTCTCTGATGTTTTCTCCTGCCTGAGCAGAGGCAAGGGCCTCTCAGCTGTTCACTCCAGACACCGAAGCACTGTGGAGACAGCCGTGTGGACAGGAGTGGGTCTGGCATTAGGAGAGAACTAATTGTGGGCAGAGCCTCTGCAGATGTGGGCAGAGCCTGAAGAGCCCTTTGCCCACGCAGAGCCCATTTATGGCCGAGGGGGGGCCCCTCCATTGCTCTCTATTTATTCCTCGATCACTTCCTAATATGGGTCCTGCTGCAGAGACAGGTCAGAGTGTTCCCACGGATCATCCAGTCCAAAGCGCCCCCCCCCCCCCGAAGCAGGTGCTGGATGTTGAAGTGCAAAGGCAGCAGTCCGTCAAAGAACCCCATGCAGCTCAGGAGCCCACAGAACCTTTTTAGCTGGCCTTTCCACAACTGCACAAGGCAACGTGACCATGCCGTGTAAATGCACATGTGCAAGACCCACGCACAGAGGGGGCCTGCTGCTTTTGTTCCTGCCTCCCCCCCTTCAGAGAGCGGGCCCTAGAAGGAGAGAGCCACAGGTGTTGGGTTCACAGGGTCTGATAAACCCCCAAGGACCTTCTGTTCCCCCCAGCATGGAAGGGAGCTGGATCGGGGCTCTCCAAAAAGCAGGGCCTCTTGCAGGAGAGCAGCAAGCACTGGCTCAGCCGCCGGGCCGAAGTGCTGCTGCTGTGTGGAGCTCCTGCTTTACCAAGAGGCAAGAGGCTTCACCAAGGCGGTGGCATCCCGTGGTCTGGGTGAAGGCGGAGTGAGCGGTGGTGCGGTGTCTCTGGTTTCGTGAGCCCCTCTCCGTCAGAACCATGGCACTCGGCAGTAAAAGGAAGGCCGTGTCATTCCTGGCGTGGCGCCAAGCGTGATGGCTGTCCAAGGGAGACTTCCCGTTGTTTCAGGTCCAGATGGGTGCCATACGGCAATAACTGTCCTGTCGACCATCAGGTGGGGGACGGGGCAGGGACTGCCACCTTCCCTGTGCTTGATCATCTTGGGCGGTTTCATGGACTCTTTCTGTGACTTCTTCTTGGTCTCTGTGCATGACACCAATGGTTTTGTGCTTGTGCAGAACACTTGTTTGTTTAATTTGTAGACTGTGGTCCTCCCGAAGGGCTCAGGGCCGTGCATGACATTCCATAAATGCATATATTAATCAGTCAGTAATAATCAAATAAAAACCATTAACTGTTAAAACAGCTAAAACAATGCAATACAAGTCATGACTAGTTCAGGTGGCGCTGGATACCGATCTGTACCCTTTCTGGGGGTGTGGGGGGGGGGGGAGTGAAGGAGGCCAGGCTCGATGGCAAACCCATCGCGGTCCTCAACCAGGGGCCTGGCGGAACATCTCTGTCTCACAGGCCCTGTGGAAGTGGGCATGATCTTGGTGACCCTGACTGGGTGTAAAGGAGGCATAAGAACAAAATAAGCAACTCTCCTAGTGTGAGAGTCCCCTCCACCCTGCTGCAGGGGGGCACTGCGCGCGCGAACCAGGAGAGGAGGGGGAAACTGCTGGGCCTCTCCTGCTCAGTCCCTTTTTGGCCACCGCGTGGTTAGAGTCTCCTCTGGGAACGTTTTTGTAGAGCTGCTTGGCTTTTTGCAGAGTGAGTTTAGTGCTGTGGGATTTCACCTCTGACAAAAACTGTGGTGTTCATGACTGTGTGGGAGAACTGCTGTGCTCTGACAACCCTGACGGTGGTCTCTTCTGTGTCTTGGGAAGGCTCGTGAGATGGAAGCCTGTAAAATCTGCCTAGAACTCACTTCGCAGGACAGGCATAACAAGCAGTCGGGCCTCCTCCTCCTCCTCCTTTGGGAGCAAAGCCCTTTTCCCATCGCTCATCCGACACCTGGCGCCACTTTGCTCCCATTCCCTTTTTTTGGCACTGGGAGCTGCCACCAGGCGGACATCAGCACCAGCCACCCACCCACCCGCCGCCTGGATGCCCCCGTGCCCTCGGCCTCCGCGACCAGGTCCCCAAGCCCATCTGGGGGCTTCCTGATCGTCCTGCTTACAGAAGAGGAGCCCTGTGAGCTCTCCTCCTTTGGGAGGGGCAGGTCTCTCCACGTCGCTCAGAGATAAAGCGGTTCTGAAAACGGTACGGAACGAGAGTTTTGGCCCCGTTGTCTCTCTTCATTCAAGAATCAGTTGGAGGACTCTCTGGAGGAACCTGAGGGGAGACGGCTCCTGTCCAGTCCGGGTCAGCCCATCAGCCAGCTACTCTGGTTGGTCAGGAGACCGGTTTGCTGTTGGGACTGACCGTCCAGACCATTCTCTGTAGGCTCTCGAGACCACCAGCACGGATCCCACTCTGGCTGGCATCGCCAGGCGAGCGGCTCCCTTTGGTCCAGTGGCAGCGGCTGCTCCCTCTCCCCTGTCAGCAAACCCCGGTGCAGCTCAGGGAGAGCCTCCCTTGAGAGACTGCTGCTCCCCAGCCCGCCGTTCTCCTCCACGGTGGCATTCTCCCGCATGTCAGCCTCGCCATCATCGCTGTCTGTCACGAGATGGCCCACCTTACTGGTATCCATGCAGCTGGCCCCCAGGTTGTTACTCCCTGCACCAGCAACCCTACTGTTGATTCTGCCCCCCAGAGGTGGCCGTTGTCCCGTGGCACAGCCAAGATGAGGGCGGTCACTTCACCGAGCCCACCCTGGAGGTCTTGAGGGCACCTGCTCCCGCGGCTCCCTCCGTGCCGCCTCTGCATCTCCCAGGTACCAACTCCACGAGACCCACATGGGTTTCTATGGGTGCCGCACCTGCCTGGATGGCGGTGGTGTCAGGTAACCCCCATTTCATCACAGACGTTAAACCCCCTCCCTGCCCTGAGCAAACTTCAGGCCCCATCCAGGCAGGAAGAACACACAGAGGCCGAGGATCGGCAGCTACCAGCTCCGCCTCGCTCTCTTTTTGGAGGGTCGGGAGTTCCGCTTTCTGACCGGGAGATGCCCTTTCCGACCTCCTCCCTAGGCCACCTTCAGCGGATGGCCGAGTGTGCGGAACAGTTCCTGAAGCTGGTGGCCGCGCTGGACATTCAGGAGGGAAGATGTCGGCTCCCGCCAAGACTGACCCAATTCTGGGCATTCTGGTTTGGATGCCCGTGCCCCAGGGGCAGTGAGTTCCACTGGCTCAAGGGCTCACTGACATTGTCAGAGACTCCTGGGACGGATCCCTAGCCCTCACCCCACCCGGACAGCCAGCATGATGGACAACCTCTACAACGTAACCTGGCCCCGCTGGTGGACCTTCTGACGGCCCCTGGTATTTCTGGCCACTGTGTGACACAGGTTTTGGACTGGATGGGCCATTGGCCTGACCCAACATTGGCTTCTCTGATGTTCTTACGTTACGAGGGAATGTGCCACCTTCTTTATATTCCCATCATCCAAAACTAGATTTGAGTCCAGCAAGATTTTCCGGGTGGATCCGCTTCCTTCCTCAGATACAATTCGGAATGGAGATCTCTGAGTCCTTCTATCCCAGTCAGAGGGTGGGAAGGATGTTACAGAGAAGGAACTCTGGATGCCAGATCATCTTGATCAGAGCAAAAGAAACGCAAGGGGGGCAGAAAATGTTGCGTCTGTGGTAAGAGAAGAACCTGTTGTCCGTATTCAGACCTGGGGGTCCTGAACTTGTGGATGAACTAAACTTCAGCAATCTTGTGTGGTAATTTCTCCTTGAGATCTCTTTGTTTGAGGATTGCCACTCTTAGGTCAACAATGGAATGACCTTGAAGACTAAAATGCTCTCCAACTGGTTTTTAAGTGTTGTGGTTTTTAGTGTCAGATTTATGTCTGTTTATTCTTTTACACAGGGACTGACCTCTTTGTCCAGTGCAGAGAGTGGAAGGGCATTGCTGGCATTTGACGGCAGACGAACAAGTGACTGAGCCTGAGATGAAGCGGCTGGTGTTGTTAGGTCCAATGACTGTGTGGTCAAGAGTGGACGTGGAGACAGAGGTGGCATCTTGGCTTGTTGCGGGCCCTGTCCATGTCAGGAAGTGCATTGTTGTGAGTAAGAGGTTTTTCTTAAGGTTAGGAGGAAGAAAAGGTCTGCCTCCCAGTGCTTGTGAGAGAGGAGAATTGTTGTCCTTGTGCTTTTGGAGATGAGCCCCTTAGGTTCCTGGAGCAGTAAATGTGCGCCATCAAGCATGTTGCTGAGACCAGGGCCGAAAGAAACGGCTTCTGTTGTGATTCTTAGGGTCAGGTTTAGTGTCAGACAATCCAGCTCCTGTGCCAACAGGAAATGCTTGGTTTTTCCGTTCTCTGAGGAGTGGGGATGGGATACGACCTCCTTTCCAAGGGGGAGGGATTCCTCCTGCAATGGACAGGGATTCCTCTGCACAACTTCCCTCCTGTTGCACTCTTCCCCGAACGCTGACCAGGCTTCACAAGCGTTCTCTGGATGGCTTGTGGGAAATCACATCCATCTTCCAAAGTCCCCTGGCCTGCTGTCCCAGCATGCAGGGACGATTCTACATCCAGGGGTCCTTAACCTGGTGGCTTGGAGAATCCATCCGTGAAACTTCTGACGAGCTGCTTAACGGAAGAAAAGCCTCCACTAGGAAGTCATATGACTGCAAGGTGAGGGACTGTCCAACCGCTGTCACAAGTCAAGCAATGAACCCTTTCACCTGGCTGCTGTGTGTCATCCTGGAGTAAGACGAGCCCTGCTGGATCAGGCCGATGTGGGTCCGTCTAGTCCAGCCTCGTGCCTCACACAGGGGCCAACCAGTTCCTCTGGAGGGCCAGCAACAGGGCAGGGAGGCCGAGGCCTTCCCCTGATGTTGCCTCCTGACTCTGGGATTCAGAGGCTGAGTGCCTCTGACTGTGGAGGTTCCCCTCAGTCCCCGGGGCTGGTAGCCACTGACAGACCTCTCCTCCATGAATCTATGTGATCCTCTTTTAGTAAGAACATGGAGAACATGGAGTGCCTTCTTCAGCTATACCGCTCAGGCTTATCATCCTTGTCAAGAAAGGTCCATCAAAGTGCCATCTCAGCAGATAGAGTGTTGCTTGAAGGTAAACTGGTTTTTCGGGGACTACATTCAGCCCTGATTCAGCCACCAGCTCCCGAGTGGAACCTCCAACTAGTGGAGTCTGGCGGCTCACAAAGAAACCGTTGGGTCTGATGGCTGCCAGTGATGTCCGGCTGCCCGTCTCTGAAGTGGCCTTTGCAGCCTCCCTCTGCTGCACCGGGAGAGCATCCGACCTGGCAGCACTCACGGCCGACCCGGCTTCCCTCCAGCTTCACTGTAACGCGGTCACAGAGAGCCAGTGCAGAGCGGTGGCTCAGAGTGTCGGGCCAGGCTCTGGGAGACCCATGTTCAGATCCCCACTTGTGCCGTGGAAGCTCACTGGGTGACCTTGGGCCAGTCACACAGTCGCTTAGCCCGGCCCACCTCACAGGGTGGCGGTGGTGGTGGTGGTGAGGATAAGGCAGAGGAGAGAAGGACGTCAGCCGCTCAGGGGAGAAGGGTGCGTACAAATGAATCCCAACAAAAGATTTAATTGCCCTGACCATCTCCTGTCTCCCTGAGGGGTCTTGGGCGTTCATCTGAGCCAGAGTATCATTCTGCCCACAGTTCCTGCCACTCCTTCCAACAGTGCAGAGAGGGGGACTCTGTACTCACCTGACGTGAGGAGGGCATTGGCTTTCAGCGTCAACCCCACCTCCTCCTCCTTTGGATGGTACGTAACCCCTTTCATACCTGTGCTGCAGCAACTCAGCCGATGGAGCTCCCATACCTCTGAGTGGGGCTACCAGCTGGCACAGAAACTGCCACCCCCGGACCCAAGGCATGCTGAGTCGTATCTGTGGCCAGCATCCTGTGTTGTCGCCAAGGGAGTCTGGCTTCCTGGCCTCTGCTGAGCGGCCACATGGGCATGACCCCACTGCTTTTGCAGAACACAATGCACTTGGCATCCGGGCACGCGGGGATGCTTCTTTTGGGCAAGGGGGCTTCTCTTAGGTAGCCCCTGCACCTACCTCTAGGTAAGCAAGCCTGCTAATCCGCATGAGTCCGTGTGATGCACACAGACCACAAAGAAGTGCAGATTGGTTACGCACCTGCAACTGCTGTTCTCCGAGTGGTCATCTGTGCAGCCACAAGACCAGCAGGAAGGGGCTCTCCTTTTAGTGGCTTCCTCAGATGGGAAGGAACTGAGCGGAAGAGGCGTGGCTCCTCCCCCTTGAGCCCATGCTCTGCTCTGGGGGGGGAGGATTTTCAATCTTTTTTGTAGTTCTAGTGGCTCAAGTGGTTAAGACACTGAACTGCAGGCTGTGGAAGGTCGGTAGTTCAGCAGTTCGAGACCCGAGTGTGCCGGCATGACAGGGTGAGCTCCCGTCTCTGATTCCAGCTCCTGCCAACCTAGCAGTTCGAAAGCAAGAAACTGCAAGTAGATAAATAGGTACCGCTTCGGTGGGAAGGTAACAGCCTTCCGTGCGCCTTGGTGTTTAGTCATGCCGGCCACATGACCACGGAAACGTCTTTGGACAGCGCTGGCTCTTCGGCTTTGTAACGGAGATGAGCACCGCAACCCTAGAGTCGGATTCGACTGGCTTTCGAGCAAGGGAAACCTTTACCTTTTGGAGTTTCTGAGATTGTATACTGTGCGTGCGCAAAACGCATCAGTGTGAATGCCCATAGGACCACGAACAACAGTCACAGGAAAGCCAACGGCCCTTTCTGGCGGTGTGATGCAGGGAGATCTCTTAGGGGTCTGTTTGACGTTTTCCTGGGACAGCTAATTCAGGGAACAGTGGAGAGGCCGCCTTTTTGCTCTTCCTGCCTGGTCTTTTGCCCTGTCCATATGGGATGTCTTCAGCCGCTGTGGCCTGTTCCTGGCCGTCGGTGTAGCCAGGTAGATTGCGTGAAAGGTGGAAGGCCCCATCCCGGGGAGCCCCTCTCTGGCAGGGCCTTGCTCCCCGGGGGAGGCTTCTGCTGTGACCGCCCGGCTGCTTTTCACTTCTCCAGAAGGTCACCTCAGTTGTAACCCTTTGTTGTCCTTTGCAGCCCAATGCCTCCCTGTTTGAAGCTTGCTGCAGTGAACGGATCCAGCGGTTTGATGATAACGAGGAGGAGGAGGAGGAGGAAGATATCTGGGAGGAGAAAGAAATCAGCTATGCAACCCAAGTCAAGTCCAGGACACGGTAAGGTGAAAGGGGGAGTGACCCCTCCTCCCCCCAGGCTCCGTTTCCAAGGCCCTCCCCCAATCAGCTGCAGCCCAAGGACCCGTGGGGGGACCCCCCCCCGGTGGCTGCCAAGACCGACTGTGCTGAGCTCTGGGGGGGGGGAGGTCTTGGGTACTCAGAAGGCAGTGCTGAGGGGGACCTGTCTCAGTGATGTGGGGTGGCCCTCCGTCTGCCCCGGGGGGTGGTGGGGGGAAGCGGCTGCTGTTCTCTGCCGAGACTCTCTCTGTTTGGAGGGCCCTCCTGCGAAGTGCCGGCATGGATAGTTCCTTGTTTGTTTGTTTTTTGTAAAATTTTTATTCAGGACATAAACATTCATATTCAAGTGGATGGTTCCTTGTGTTGGGATCAAAGGATCACCAGTTAGGCCTCTGACTGGTTTACTGGCCACCTAGTCTGTCATGGGAGGGGCCCTCTCTGAGCTGGCAGAGGTGGTCTTGGGCTCACTGTTGGAGACCCCCGGACTGATCATTCTGGGGGACTTCAGCGTCCCCACGGCCCCCATGGCCCCTTGTCTTGTCTTGCTTGGGTGGCCTCCTTGGCCACCCTGGGCCTCTCACAGCTTGTTATGGGCCCAGCTCATGAAAGGGGACACGTGGACTCTCTCTCTCTCTCTCTCTGGACGTAATCTTTTGCACCAGACCTCTGTGGGGTGATTTGGTTTGGGGGCTGGAGGTCCAGTGAGTGCTGCAGTCTGACCCCCACCTCCTCAAGGCACGGGGAATGTGGCACTGCTGCTCTGTGGGGGCAAGGAACCCGTTAAAAGGGTCTGCCCACCTCGTCCGGGTCCAGCTCTCTTCAGAAGTCATCCATATCAACCCTGTCCCGTTGCTTCTGGTTTTGTGCTTCAGGTTTGGTGTGTCTCATCCCTCAGAGGAGTCATCAAAAAGTGACTTACAGAATGGCGACCACGACGACCACGGGGACTCAGGAGGAGAGGAAGCAGACCAGGCATCTTCCTCGACGGCTGTCAGTGCTGATGAGAACGGCAGCCCTTCTGAGCAGAAAAGCTCTCCGGAAGGTAATGGAGCCTGGGGCCAGGCTGCCTCCCTCCCTCCCTCCCTCCACACTCTTGCCTCGGAAGCAGGAGTCTCCCAAAGAACTGGACCAGGGGAGTCAGTGGCTGGGCAGGGCCGTGGCAGCCCCCCGCCTCTTGGGAAGTGGGAGGGTAGGCTGGCGGGGCAGACCTGCGTCCTCAGTCACCGCAGGCAGCCTCCATGTGGGTCTCCTCCTGGGCCGCCGTGCGGAGATTACAGATTGAAACTTCCGGTAAACATGGCAGCAAAACATCAGATAGGCAGAGTGGGTGTGTTGTGAGTGTTGCAGCCGAGGGCCATGGGCCCAGTCTAATCACGCAGCTGAGGGAGTTTCCCGTAGGTTGCTGTTGCCCCCCATGTGGGCAAGCAGGATTTCCCAGGGTCCCCAGGGGTGGTTGTGTTTGCTGAGTCGGGGTCTAGTGCTGTGCTTGACCAGAAGGTCCCTCCCCCCCCCCATGATGGATGGACTGGACACAGCCATAGTGGGAGGAACTGGTGCCTCGTAGCCGCTTCCAGGGAGAAATCCTAGTGGGCTAATGCCGAAGGGCAGAGATCTCGCCTCGTGCTGTTGCGCCAGACCGTAGGGGTGCCGTTCTGATCCTGTGTTCCGCCTGGGGAGTGGATGGCGCTTCCTGTGTGGCGAAAGGAATGCCATGCAATTAACTCGCTCCTGGAATACTGGTGGGGTGGCGTGAAGCTTTCGCTGCCTGTTTTTATGTTCCCAGGCTATTGCTGATGACAGAGCTGCCCACAGCACCACCAACCGCGCAAGGCCAAGAGGGCCCTGGCCAAGTCCGAGGGGCGAAAGCGCGCTCCCGCCATCTCCCGCGGCTGCTGGAAGGGGCTCCTGGTGGGGGGGGGGCAGGGGGGGGGGGGTTTCAAGCGTGATCCGGGGGGAAAAGACACCTGGGATCCCAGAGCTCCATCCGTCCGAGCCCTCCTCCCAGGCCCAGCAGGCCACGAGGCTGCCCCTCGTTTTGTGGGCCACCCCTGGTCCCTGTGGAACAGAGAGTGAACCACTGGTGAGAAGTTGGGGTGTGTGTGTGTGTGTGTGTCAGCGTCTCATAATGCCACCTGATCCTCCTGAAAGGAGCACAGGGAACCCGTGAAGTGTTGCCACCTGGCCTGTGAGAAAGTTGGGTCTGATCCGGGCTGCCCTGGAAGGAGTAGAGAAGCTCTGGTATCCCTGCAGCAGGGTGCGCGCTGGTTTTCTTCCCACAACCTTACACTGCCTGTTAGAGACAAACTGGTATCTTCAGTTCATCATTTGCTTGGTGTTGTCATACGTGAAATAATGAAACACGCTTTAGAGCTGAAGGAAAGAGTAACTTTAATCCAAAGAAGATAATTCAAAACATCCTGCTAGCAGCCATAGTATCTGCGTGCTGTTCGTAAGGCTTCCAGCTTTTTGGTTTGTGGCTGATTGTACAGTAATGGTACTTAGTTCTTGTGGAACTTTCTTATTCGTGTTCACTTGCAAGTAGCTTTGCATCTTCTGGTTTCCAATATACACATTTCTTCTATGTAGTTCTGCATGTTTTTCTGTGTAATTGTATAAGTTCTTCAAAACAGACTTTTTATATATTTTTCATTGGTAGAGGATACTTTTTTCCTTTTGTGTGCTGCTGGCCTTTTTTTGTAGCTTTCCTTCCACAACACCGCCCGTAGAAGGCCTCTCAAGTGGCTTGGTGGCTCAGGGGCTTTCTGGAAAAGAAGGTCACCGTGAAGACCTTTTCTGGGTAGCCATATTGCTCTAGCGCCCTCCTTCCGATGTCCATGCAGAGAGGTGGAGCCCGTCCCAGATAGGGGGATGGAACAGGGAACCCTGCAGAGGGATGTCGTGGCCCACTGGACAGATCCCCGGTGGGTGGTCGCTGTGCCATTGGCTCTGGGTCGGAGAAGCAGGGTCTCCTTGGTGTTGTCGCCTTCTGTAGTTCTCTCTCTTTGTATTCTGTTGGTCACTCTGGCCACAAGCGGAGATGCGGGGAGGTCACAGAGGAGCCATTGCGGCCTGGTGGCTGACAAAGTATCTTTGCTCTCTGCCCCCTCCAATGTGAACCTGTGCTGGAATTCTGGCACAATCCTGGTTGGGGGTGTAAATGGGTCCAGGCAAGGCAAGCTCCCATCTCCTGGCCACTGGTATGTCAGGCCCCTCTCCTAGATCCAGGTCGTGCTGACTGAGCTAGTCTGCCTTCAGGCTGTGGAACACCTGAAGATGTTGAACTCGGTGTCAGGAAGATGGGACTCTGCCCACTGGAGCAGAAGATTTGCTTCATGGTGGACGGAGCGAGGCCCTGTGCCTCCCGGAGGGCCAGCGTGGGCGTTTGCTGCCTAACGTCAGTGAGAAGGAGGGTGTGACCGCTCCTCAGGAGCCGGAAGGTTAGTGGTGCCAGTGGGGTCGCGCTCTGCTTCAGTCGATGGCTGTGCCTTTCCTCTTTGGTGCGCCACTTTCCTTGGGCAGCTTGGTGACGGCAGCGTGCTCTCCAGCCGGGCGGGCTGGGACCTGTGGTGGTTTCCACTCTGCATGTGTTTGGGGCCCCAGAGCCACCAACTGAAGGAGGAGCTTACGCTGGGAACAGTAGTTGTGCCCTCTGCAACAGGAGGGGACAGGAGTGGAATCCAGACCATGGCCCAGTTCCCAGGTCACAAGACCCACCATGGCCATCATGTCTGCAGGTACCACATATGATGGGGGGCCCCCGAGATGGCCGCCCTGAGATGGGAGCAGCGTTCTCCTGGAGGGGGACAGAGGACTGAGGGAGTGTCCATCGGCAGTGTCAGGTTCAACAGCAAGTAAATCTCCACACACGTTTCCAGGGAAGCGTTATGCTTTATTAGACTACAAGTCTGTTACCATGTCCACAAGATTATTGTTAGGAATGACCATGGGGCGGAAACATCCCTACATACAGCAGGATGAGGCAAATGGCTAAGCAAATGAAATCTGAGTGCGCGTGCGGGAATTCTTCCGGCGGGAGGTTACATAATAAGCGGGAGAGTCTCAGTGCCCCATGAGAACCGAAAAATTCACACCTGTGGTGGAACGCAAGCCCTCCCCCCGTCACAAGGTCAGACAGATAACTCAGTCTGGCAGCACTGGTTCTCACGGTCTCCCTATCGCTGTTTACGGCAAGCGGCAGAGCAGCCAGCAAGCTATGAGGCACGCGCCGTAGCGCCAGGATCAGAGAAGGGAACAAGAAAAATATGGCAGCTAGCTGACATCCTGCCCCCTCAAAAACACATCAACCACCTCCCGGAGCAGATGCGAGACCTCCCGGTTTCTCCGGGAACCAGGCGTGGAACTCCCGCGGGAGATTAGGGGCCCGCACATCTTTACCCGCCGCCCACTCCCGATGCTGGGGACCCCAATGCACCCGTTCCACCAGATAATACGATCGTCCACGTTTCACTTTAGTGTCCAGAATGTCGGATATTTCGTAATGTTCCTCACCCTCCACCAGGATAGGAGGGGGCACTGTCGGTTCTGGGCACCATGGATTAGTTGCTGGACTGGGCTTCAATTAACTGAAATGGAAAATTGGATGGACATTCTTTAAGTTCTTAGGCAAGTCCAATTCTACCGTCACATCATTAATCAACCTTACAACTTTAAATGACCCTATGTATTTCCATGCCAACTTCCGACAAGACTGGGAAAGTCTCAGATTTTTTGTAGACACATATACAGAATCCCCAGGCTGCAGAAACCAACCCTCCACCCTTTTCTTGTCAGCCTGATGTTTGTAGGCCATGTCCAAGGTTTTGCAGATTTTCGGCCACGCCTCCCTCAATGCAGTACTCCATTCGGACGCCTCCCCCCCGACCCCGGTGTTGAAGTCAGAAAGGGGATCGGGGGACTGTCATAACCAAGAGCAGCACGTAGATGCGTGGTGAGCATTGTTATAACAGAATTCAGCAAGAGTCAGTAAGTCAACCCAATTGTCTTCTTGGTAGTTTGTAAAGCACCGTAAGTATTGTTCAAGTGGTTGATTAACCTGTTCTGATTGGTCATCAGTCTCTGGATGATAAGAACTGCTCAGCCCCCGTTCTATGCCCATAAGTTCCATGAGCTCCCCCCAAAACTTCGAGACAAATTGGGGGCCCCTGTCCGTTATTATTTTGGTAGGCAGCGTGTGGAGCCTGAAAGCGTGTTTGAGGAATGCTTTGGCCAATGTCCGTGCCGTTGGTACATTGGAGAATGGAATGAAATGAGCCTGTTTAGAGAATAAATCCACGACTACCCAGATTACCGTCATGGATTTGCTAGGGGGTAAATCTGTGATTAAATCCATGGAAATCACCTCCCACGGTCTGTTTGGAGTTGGCAATGGTTTCAGTAATCCGGGGGGTTTCCCCTTACGTGGTTTACACATGATGCAAGTTTCGCAGGAGTGTACATACAGAGGTAAATCCTTGCGCATGTGTGGCCACCAGAATTTGCATTGTAGAAGGTGTAGCGATTTCACAAAACCTGTGTGGCCAGCCGGCTTAGATCCATGCACCAGTCCCATTACCTCCCTTCGCAACAGTTTTGGAACAAAAAGTTTTGTGTCCTTATACCAGCACCTGTTTTCCCCAAGCACCAAATCCCCCGCCACCTCCACTTCCTGTTTGTCCAGCTCCGAAAAGGGGGCGGCGAATTTGGCTTCCCATCCCCCGGGGGGGGGGCACAGGGGAGGTACATTTAGCCTGCTTCCGTGTCATCACTGCTCCGCCCAATTGCTGCGGGAGGCGGGACAAGGCATCCGCCAGCGAATTTGATTTGCCTGGGAAATGGTGCAGGATGAATGGAGCTGTTTGGCATTCTGTGGGGGCTGCGAAGCACTTTGAGATTCTTGTGATCTGTCCACACCTCAAACGGCCCCCTCGCCCCCTCCAGCCAATGTCTCCACATGGAGAGAGCTAGCCGGATTGCCCCTGCCTCCCTGTCCCAGACCGACCAATTCCGTTCGGTGTCGATGAATTTGCGGGACACGTAGGCTAGGGGATGGAGTTTGCCATCAGCTCCTTGCAAGATCGCACTGCCCATAGCAACGCCCGAGACGTCCGTTTGCACCACAAACTTTTTAGTTTTGTCTGGGTGCGCCAGAATGGGTTCGGTGGTAAAAAGGGCTTTCAGTTTATTGAACGCCTCTTGGCATTCAGGGGTCCACAGCAGCTTAGCCCCCGGCTTAGTAGCCTCCGGTCCCTTCCCCTTTGTTTTCAGTAAGTCAGTAAGGGGCAAGCTCACCTGAGCAAAGTTCGGCAGAAAATTTCTTTGGAAATTTGTGAACCCTAAGAAAACTTTGAAGTTGCCAGCGAGTTCTGGGAGCCTCCCACCCCAAAACGTCCTTTACTTTCCCTCAGTCCGTTTCTATGCTGCGGGGGGAGATGCGATAACCCAGAAAGTCAATTTCCGTTTTATGGAACTCGCATTTTGACACTTTGGCAAACAGTTTGTGCTTGTGCAACTTTTTGAGCACCTCTCTCACCAACTGCACATGAGAGGTTTTGTCGGGGGAGTACAATAAAATGTCGTCCAAGTACACTAGCACCCCCTTAAACAGGTGCTTATGCAATACCTCATTTATTAAATTCATGAAGACCCCTGGAGCCCCCTGGAGACCCAGTGGCATCACCAGGTATTCAAACTGTCCCAAAGGGGTATTGAAAGTGGTCTTAAATTCATCCCCTTCCCTTATGCGCACCCGAAAATAAGCGTCTCGCAAATCAAGCTTGAAAAAGATCTTCCCCTTAGCCACTTCAGCTAAGAGATCTTTGATTAACGGCATAGGGTAAGCATTTGTAGAGGAGACAGCATTCAACCCCCGGTAGTCGGGGCACAGCCACAAACCCCCATCCTTCTTTTTCCGGAATAGAACGGGGGCTGCATACGGGGAAGAAGCTGGCTGGATGAAACCTCTAGCCAAATTTTTGTCAATAAATTTCTGCAACTCCACCTTCTCCCAGGGGCTCATGGCATAGAGCTTTCCCTTGGGCATTTTCTGCCCCGGCAGTAGCTCGATTGCACAGTCAGAGTTGCGGTGTTTGTGGGGGGGAGCTCGTCAGCCTCTTTTTCGCCAAAAACTTGAGCTAGATCTCTATACTCCCAAGGAAGTTTGGCCAGTTCTTCAGTAGCTAAGCACGCTCGAACTTGGTCATCGCCAGGAGGAGCCACACCCCCGGGAGGATGATGCCCTGCAAGCCAGGGTGGTAGTTTTCTAATGAATCACCAGGGACCTGTGGCTGTGGAGGACCATTAGGGGTTGATGGGTTGTCCTGGAAATCCCATGACCTGCGTGGTGGCCTAGATGCCAGGTCATCCTGGTATGAGGTGGACGTGTACCCCTCATGTCCTGAGATGGGCCACTGCTGAGACCCTCGATTTTGGGTGAAGAAGGAGAGCCCGGATTGGGCGGGGCCCCCTCTGTATCGAAAGGGTTGGCAACAGTATGCAGACAAGGGTGCTGCCTAGAGCTTGGCTGTATGGGAACCTGCAGATATGCCTCCTGGAGGTCCACAAAGAGGTTCCCCAACTGGAGGGCCTTCATGCCAAACTCCTCCTTCTCACCTCTCTGAGAGTGGTCTGGGTTTGGTCTCCAGGTGCCACGTTTCTGGGACAGTAGGATAGAGTGGGTCCCACAAAATGGCCAGTGTTTGATGAAACTGGGCTCTCCAGCAGGTGTCTGATGGCTGGCGTAAAGCATGAGGTCGGCTGCTGGGTCTTAGAGAGCAGGGACCAGAGGAGGCTGTGAGGATGTACCCAGACAGATCATGTGTGGGGCCACCCCCCACCCCCCGTGGGCTCGGTGGGGCTGACAGAGCACTGAGGGTCAGCGAGAGCCCTGAGAGGAGGAGCTGGGCAAGGAGGTGAATCGGGGCTTGTTCCGGGCTGACTTGTGGAGTCCTTGGAGGCCAAAACCTTGACCTGAACGGTTAACTCTTTTCCTGTCTTGACGGGAAGAGGAGGGTATCGTCTACTGCTTTCCCTTGGTCTCTGCTAGGAGGACGCCCTCTGGTACAGTATCCCCAGAAAATTTCTCTCTGCAGTAGGGGACAGTAGAGAGCTTACTTCTGGAAAGGTGAGCTGCCTTTCCGTATTAGGGAGGTGAGCTGCCTTTCAGTGTCCGAGGGGGCGGGTGCAGACTCGGCTGTCTTTGGGCTCTACTAGTGCTGCTGTCGTTGGTGTGTTCCCACAGGATCTGAGTGGACAGTGGCGTTTGAGCCTGTGAGTGGCAAGCCGGCCGCATCCTGCGTGGCCATGGACGTGGGATCCAGCGTGTGGGATTCGGCGGCCTCAGACAGCAAGGAAGAGAGAGGCTGGGCCAAGTTTGCAGACTTCCAGCCGTTTTGTTGGTGAGTGGTCAGTGGGATGGAAGTGCAACCCCCGTCCTCCGCGGAGGCATCAAAACCGTGAGCAGAGGTCAGAGTGTGTGGCCTTCACATGTGTCCGGTCAGCCGGGGGTCTGTCCTGTCCAGCATTATGGCCAGTGGGGAACTCTTCCTCTGAGCAATCTGAGGTGTGTGAGAGAGATTCCATTTTTTGCTTTTGTGGCCAGCGGTGCCATGAAAATATATGTGGCTGTCCTGCTCTGTGTCCTGAATCTCATTGGCTGCTCTGTTACGTTGAAAACAGAGAGTGGGAAGCTTCACCCTCCTGAGTGACCTCTGGCCACCTCACTCTCCTCCCCTGCCCCAGAACATTTATCAGCAAGTGAAGGGAGTGCTAGGCCACGTACAGATCTTCTGGGAATCGGCTTTTCCATGTCATTGGTCAGTCGCTCCCCCAGAAAATGTGGTGTTATTGTGAGTAGACTGTTCCTTGAGGAGGGAGGGACCTTGTAGGTATTTCACTGCATTCCTCACCTGGAGGGTCTTGGGAAATCTCCTCTGCAGCCGTGTGTTTCAGTCGCTTGTTCCACGAGATGCTTTAAAAAGGGAACTTCTTGGGCCTGTGCCTCCCAGCCCGTCTGCTCACAGAGAACACACAGAGATTGACTTGCTGGAGAGGAGAGGGAGCGCAGAGGCCTAAGGAAGGACGTCCCTCACGTGGATGGCCCTCCCTCTGTCTTCAGACGCGGCAGCATTTTTCCTTGTGGACGTTGCTCTCCCCCCCCCCCCCCCCCCGCTGCCGCGTTTTCCTTTCTGTGCCAGTGGTCCCAGTTGTTCCTGAGTATGCAGTTGCCTGGTGAGAATGTAATGGTGGATCAGCCACAAGGCGTGAGAGTATTGCTGCAGCGCTTCCAGCTGCTGCTGCTCTCGTTCAAGGTCTTGCTAACGGGGCCTGTGTTTCGCCAGTCCACACACTGCGTTTCGTCACAGGCGGGGATTGTTTGTCTCTTGTGTGTGTGGGGGTGTGTGGGGGACCCCCCGTGGGCGTGTGTGGGGGACCCCCCGAGTCACAGAGTCCGCCATGGATAGACGTGCTCCCTGAAGTGCTTCCTTCTGAGCGGCCCATTCCTGGGATCTCTGCCGTGTCCTTTCCCCGGACCCACCTCTGCTGGGGGTTACAGCGGAAGGTCTCTGGACTGAATGGGGCTCCTGCTGCTGTTTCTGAGGAGGTGAGGTGAGCCCAGCCAGCGTGAACTTGTCCTCCAGCCCATTGCAGAGGGTCCGTGTGTGGCTTCCTTCTGTGCGGCCTCTTCACGGGGCCTTCCCCCCCCCCCACCCCAGATAAACCTTTGAAGAATGGCAGCATACGGTGAATGCGAGTGATCACTTACTACGTTTGCTGATGATTATGGAACCTGCGGAGACAAAATGTCGCCCGGGGAGAGCCCCTTCTGGTTCCTGAGGTGGATTACTCCTTTCTCTTCTCCGCTGGTGACTCACGCAGGCACCTTTCATTGAGCAAAACTGTTGTCAGACGTTGTCACCTAAATGTGTCCTCAGTACTTACAGCCAAGTGGGATGGCAGTTTCTCCTTGGAGAGTGTTGTGATGTGGCCAAGCGCCCCCCCCCAGACACCCCCCCCCAAGGGACACACGTCTTTGTCCTGGTGAGAGAGGCGTTTGCTGCCCTCGTCCCACGAGAGGCAGGCCAGGAAGGCGGGCTTGGTTTGTTCAGTTCCCACTCCCCCCCCCCGGTCCAGTTGACCTCAGGACTCAGCCCTGAAGGCCGGGTTCGTCTAAGTCCGGACCGTGCCCTGCTCCTGGGCCTCAGGCCGCGCCTCCTGCCTCCCGGAAAGCGTCCGCTTGGCTCGATCTGGGGTGCCTCACCTGGTCCTTTCCCCGCCAGGCCCTGACTCGGTGCCTCCTCACCTCTGAGGCCTCGGCCAGTCCCGTCCGAGGCGCCGGCAGCCTTCCTCGGCCCCCCGCGTTCCTCTCCCCGCCCCCCCAGAGGTTCCACGGCCCCCCAAGTGGCTGAGGCTGGTGGGAACCAGCAGGGGACCGGCTGTGAGGCCTGGAGGGTGGGACGAAAGGCCGTCTGTCACAAGCCAGGCCTGGCAGCAGAGGTCCCGTTCTGTGCTTGGCAAGAGGCACGGTGAGCAGCCCCGCCCTGCCCGTCTTCCGAGCATGTGCCGCCCTCTCGGCCTCCCTTGGGGTCTAGGCGGGCGGCTGCTTTTCCACGGCTGCTCTGCTCACCAGGCCGCCCAAGCGTCAGGCAGCGTGAGAGAGACCCTTGGATGGAGGCTTCGGTGCCTTTTCCCTTCCAGCTCCGAGGCAGGCCCCAGGTGCAGTTCTCCCGTGGACACAGAGAGCAGCGGTTTGGAAGGCAGCCCCCAGCAGAGCCAAGACAAGAACCGTGAGTGGTGGTCCCCCTGAGCCTTTGTCCCACCAGCCACAAGGAAAGAGGCTGTGTCCAGCCCGCGGGGAAGCTGACGGGTGGAGCGGGAGGAGGACTGAAGTCTCAACCCTTCCTGGGACCCCGGGGGGGGGGGGGGTCGGGAAGCGGGTAGGCGAAAAAAAAATGCCTCTCCTTCCCTGATGCCTCAGTGGGCTGGAGGTGGGAGGGCTGCCCCCCCCTTTCCCCTGCCGCCACAGAACGCCTGGGAGATGAGCCAGAGCCTCTGCTCTCTCCCCGCCTCCCGGAGGGTCCCTGCAGGAGACCTCCCCTGCTCTGATGGCCCAGAGGCCAGCTCCCAAGCCCCCACGGCGGCGCGTGTCAGCAGCACTTCGTATGCACTCAGAAGCAGGGGTAGGCCAAGGCGTTGCTTGGCTGCGAAATGGGGAATGCTTGGGGGGGGTTGGTAGCAGTAGCAGCAGCGGCAGCAGTCTTGATGGCAGGGAAGAGGAAATGGCCACAAGGGAGCCTTGAGAGCAAGGACTTTCCGAGTCGATGTGAGTCAGCAGCCAGCGGTGAGCGGTTTGGTTTCTCACCGTCCTGAGAGCAGCAGCAGCAGCAGCAGGCCACAATGCTGCCCAGTAAGGGTGCTGTCCTTGCCTGGGGCTGACCATTCAGCCGGCACAGCTCCTCGTCTCTGCACCGTGTAGATTCTTGGGGGCACCAGGGTTTGAGTCCAGGTGCACTGGAAAGACCGACAAAACAGTCCACGATGTGCGCCGTCATGAGCCCGAAGCGCATTTGGTCAGATAACGAGTGAGAATGAAGGTCAGCCAGCTCCTCTCTCCGGATCAGGAGGTGGGAGGGGTGTTACCGGGAAGGTCCGGTTGGGAGGCGGGCGTCAGAAGTCCCGGGCAGAATATGGAAGGAGAGACGGCCTAGAGAGGAGGCGGGAAACGCAGAGAAGGGTCATCTCTGGCGAGAGAAGAGTCCTGTGCCCCGGCGGAGCCCTGGGTGGTGGTGGTGGTGGGTGGGGAGTCCCTTGCCCTTAACTTACTAAGGATTTCTAGTTCAGTACCAAGGCCCAGAGCAGGAAGCTTTGTGGCCCCTTCTTACTTTCCTGCGGGAGGCCCCCCCCCCCAGTGCTTTTATTTTTTGCAAAGATTTGGAGCTAGTCAAGAATCTTTTTTGGGGGGGGGGAGCGCAGCCCGGTGGTAGACATATAACCTCCTTTCTCCCTGTGCAGTTAGCGCTGCCTCCCCTTGCGTTTGGAACGTCTGCCTGGCTCGGAAGGCGCCTCTGGTGGCCTCAGGCAGCAGCTCTTCTAGCGGCTCAGACAGCGAGGAGGAGGAGAAGGAAGCTGATGTTGCCACAGAAACGTTCAGCGCAGGTTCAGGCCAGGAAGCCATCCCGCTGACCGTGGATGCTGAGACTGAGAAGGCACCTGTGTCCACCAGGTGCGGAAGGCCTCTGGGCAGCGGGCGGGATAGAAAGGGAGCCCGGGGGGGGGGCGTGTGCCGCAGGGCAGGCCGGGAGCCCCAGGAGAGGTGGGGGCAAGCAAGGGATGGAGGGGGGGAGCTGGCCGGAGGGCCGTCCTGCACCAGGTAGAGGAGGGCTGTTGGTGCAGGTCAAGAGGGCGGGGGCTGTGGCTCCCCCCTTGCAACAGCGGCACATTACGCAGAGGGGAAAGGTTCGTTCCACCTTCCCCCTCCCTCCCCCCCAAAAAAATTGGCAAGCGAGGGGGGGCAGTTCCAGCTGAAGCCACAGCAAACCAAAAGAGCCAGCAGAGCCTGCCGGTCCCTGCCTGTGCGGAGCCGAACTTGGTTGCAGCCAGCGGCCAGAGCCAGGATTTGGGAGGAGGGGAGGGGGATACCTGACATTTGGTACCCATCTCTCAGGCTGTCGTGGCTCTCCTGGTCCCGTCTCTTCTCCACAGGAAGGCTGCTGAGGTGGTCTTGAAAGCCACGCAGACTCTCCGCGGTCCCCATTCCAGGTGTCCTTTCGGTGCTGCTAAAGGACGTCATGGTGGCCTGTTAGAGTTGACCGGGGGGGGGGGCGGGGGGGGGCGGGGGGGATAGGAAGATTGGAAAGCTGCGTGTGTGGGGGTGTGGGGGTGTAAGACGTATAAGTGCCTTTGAGTCTTCCAAGTCTGTTCATGTGCACACACCCTCTATAAATAGCGAATATGAAATAAAATATCCCCCTTTCCTGCCTGTAGGCCGTAGACAGACAACTTCAAACTACCCCAACAGTGTCTCTGCCGCAGAGGATGAGCGGTGGAGAGGAGGGGTCCATGTGAGGGCAGTAGAATAGAATCAGGAAGTTGGAAGGGGGCCTAAAGACCCCTGGCCCTGTGCGGGGTGGCCTAAAGCATTCCTGATGAATAATCATAACAGCCTTCACTTAAACACCACTAGGGATGTGCAAAAAAAAAAAATTCAGGGCAGTAGAATAGAATCAGGAAGTTGGAAGGGGGCCTAAAGACCCCTGGCCCTGTGCGGGGTGGCCTAAAGCATTCCTGATGAATAATCATAACAGCCTTCACTTAAACACCACTAGGGATGTGCAAAAAAAAAAAATTCGGTAAAATTCGGATTCGGGTTTATTGGACCCGAATTTTTTCGGGAAACCCGAAAAAACCCGAATATCTATACCGGTAAAGCATAGATATCTGAAAATTTTCGGGAATCCCGAAAAATTCGGGTCCAGTGTAACCAATGGGGCCATTGAAGTCAATGGCAAAAATCCTCTTGAAACTTTGCGGGGGGCTGGGGAGGAGGGGGGTTGGGGTAGAGGCTCCAAACTTGGAGGGAGCTCACTGGAACCTCTTCCCAACATGCCCACCAAGTTTCAAGGCGATTGGACAAGGGGGTACAATTTTATGGCCCCCC